TTCTACTATTAAACTTATCTAGTTTGGAGCTAAAGAAGCTAGTATAAATAGAGAGAATATTCTAAACTTTAGTTCTATATTTTAATTTAAAGTTTAAAAAAATATTAACTAAAATTATATTTATAGAGATATTTTATAAGAGTATAATAAAGAAGTTTATATTTACTACTTCTATTATTTACATTATACTTATATTTACTAGATTAACTATAATATTAAGGGCTAAAATAGACTATTTTAATAATGGAGAAATATAACTAAGGATCTAGCCTTTTAATATTTTAATAGATAAATATTTAATATTAGTGATAGAGAGGATATCTATATCATAAGAAAGTATAATATTCGGCCTAGTAATATAAAATAAATTATCAGAAAAGATTAGCTTAAAGGACTTGAAAAAGTAGATAATAAAATTAGAGACTAAAAAATAATAAATATAAATTCTAGATCTATAAATTAATTAAATAACTATAGAGTTAGTAGTTTATATCAAGGTATACTTATAATGAATATAAAGTTTTAAAAATAGTAATAATATTATAATAGAGAAAATAATATTAAAAAATATAGAGGTATTACCCTATATAATAATCTTTAAAGTATAAAAAATAATAACTAATAGACTATTAAGGATATTATTAGCTAGTAAAATATTAGTAAATAAGAAGAGTATAATATAATAAGATACTAATATATAAATAAATATTCTATTAATACTATATATAAGTAGATAAAAGAATATCATAATAGTCGTCTTATATATTAATTTATAGAAAGAAGAAAGGGTAATTAATAAAGTAGTATTAATTATAGTATTTAGAAAATATAGTAGTAGATAATATTATAATATTAGAGATGTAGATATATTATTAATATAAAATGAAAATAGTATTATAGTAGTTAAAGTAACTAATAAAAATGAATATTACTTATAATTATATAAAGTTATAATATAGTTTTTATTTCTTAATACTTTAATATTAAAACTACTTATTAATTTCTCTCTAATAAAATATTAAAAAAGAAAATAATATTATTATTATTATTTATCATTATTAATTATACTACTTACTTTGCTTTAATAATAGTATTAATTACTACCTAGTAATTGAAATCTATAAAGTTAACTATAGTTAGCTTCCAAAATAGGCAAAAGTAGTACTAATATATATTACTATATATATAATAGAGCTAAAGGGGGGGCATAGAGTAGTTTAGCTATAGTTAGATATTATTCTTAGTTCTAGCTTTAATATTTAACCTTTTTACTATATTAGTATTATTTATACTAATATTAGTGGATATTATCTCATCTTTAGTAGTAGATATATTAGTAGTAGTTAGCTTACTATATAGTTTATATAGATAGGTTATTATATATAAGAGATAAAAAGATTTTTTAAATTTTATAATGGTAGCTTTTAATGGATAAATATATTATTTATATATATCTAGTATCTTACTCTCTAATGATAGGATAATAAGTATAAAGTTATTATCTAAGCCTTTTTATAATAATTATTTTAATATAATTTTATTTATTATCTCTATAGAGATAAATAAAAATATTTTCTTTATTATATATAAAGTTAAAGATAATATATTAATATTTATAAAATTAAAGTCAAAAATTATTACTTTATTCTAAGTAGATATTTAATTTAGTTCAAATTTAGTCTAAAGTATCTTATAATAGATATTAAGAGATTTTATTAAATCGAGCTATATTATTACTAATAGTATTAAATACTATTTAAGAGTTCTACTCTTAAGGTATAAAAGCTATATTTATAAAATATTAGTATTACCTTTAAGCTACTCTATAAACTTAAATTAGTTATTAAAAAAAGATATATTAATATTATCCAAATTAAATATTATAATATTAGCTAATCTAAGCTGATAAAATTATAAAAAGTAGTATATAGAAGCGAGTAGTATTTAGAAAATATTATTATTATTTTAATTATATTTTCTATAGTAGGCTTTATATCTACTCTACCATTAAGTAGCTAAAGTTTTCTAAAAATTATCTAGATAGTCGTCTCTTACTAGGTCGAGAACTGACTAATACTATAATATTGGAACTAGTATGGAGGCTAGGGCTAGTATTCACTACTATAAGAAATATTATAAGGCTAATTAATATAGTAGAGAGTTTATTCTAGAGAGAATAGTAGCTATTATTTAGGTAGTTACTAGATCTATATTTATAGATACTAATACTAAGGGTAGTAGTATATTTTTAATAATTAGAGTAGGGTAATAATTAGCCCGAGAGTATAATATATAGCTATAGTTATACTTTAGTATAGTAGAGAATAGTAGTTAAATAATTATTATAATAAAGTAGTTAAAATTAATAATTTACTTCTTTAGTTAATATTTTTTATCATATAGTTAGTTATATATTAATTAAAACTATTTATAGAGATTACGTAGTTAGTTTTATAATATAAATTTTAACTATTAGAATTTAATAAAATAATTAGTAGCCTACTAGAAATACTACTTCAATAAATTATAATCTACCTTTTAATATTATAAATTCTTCTATCTAATATCTAGCTCTATAAAATACTATCTTAAGCTTACTATATTCTCTAATATTAGTAATTCTAGAGTATTAGAAAAATTAATAATTATAAGTAAGAGCCTCTTATTAAGTCTCTTTTACAAGAGCTAAAGATATACGAGCTACTCTTTTATAAGTCTAATTTAGCTATTATAAAAGTTCTAAAAAGAGAAAAATATAGCTACTTAGGGGGTAAATTATAACTTAAATAAAGTAGAAATAATATTATAAATATATAAAAAATTAGTTAATATTAAAATCTTATTTAAAATACTTCAAGTTAAATTATTCTAGTAGTTCTATATATAAGTAATAAAAATAGAAATCTATAGATACCTATATATATTACCAAAGGTAGATTCCTTTATTAAATTTAGATCTCTATTTATAGCTAAAGAATCTATTTATATACTAGCTTTATAAATCTAAAATAATAAATATAATATTCTAATACTATTATAACTAGTTTACTAGACTATAATAAAGTAGTATAAGAGGTAAAATAAAGTTAAAAAATATAGTAAAAAGTAAGAAGATATATTAAAAAATAAGAAGATTAAATATTAGTATATACTATATAGAGAGATAAAGATATTTAGAGGCTAAAAAAGATATTACTAAGAGTAGAGCTAGAAAGTTAATATTTAAGGATCGATACTTTATTACTATTAAAAGATAGTAACTAAAATAGTAGCCTTCCTTCTATGTAGATAATTCTAGACTACTATATTATAGTACTTATATAAAATAATATTAATATTTATTAAGGCTCTACTTAACTATATTAGTAGAGAGGTAAAAAATATATAAAGTTATTATAGTTAATTAATATAATGATAATAGTAGTAATAGTATAGCTATTAGTTAAATTATTTAACTAATTAGAATACTTTAATATTATATTAACTACAAGCTTATTTACTTTAAATAATATTTAACTTATTATATATTAGGGCTTCTATTAGAAGCTATTAGTTATATAAGTAGTAGTAGTTAGAAGAGAAAGAGAAAATTAGTAATATTAGTACTAATTAAGTTAACTAAGAATATACTACTAATTACTATATATAAAATATATAAATAATATAATAATATAATAAAAATATACTTATTTATATTATTTTTTTTAATTAAGTAGCTAGTAAAGTAATATTATAATATTATAATATTATAATAGCCTAGTAGTATATATAATATAGTATCGTTGTAGCTAGAGGCGCTATATTTTTTTTTTTAATCAAATAAAATACTATAAATATTTAATAAAGAATAATTTTATATATTAATTATTCTAATAAATACTTTTATTAATATTATTACTTCTTTTTCTCCTTAAGTTTATTATTAAATAATATAGAAAATTAAGTTATTAGAGACTTTATTTAATAAATACTATATCTAAAAAATTATTTATACTAATAAGTAGCTAGTTATTAAAAATAATATTTTATAATATAAAAATAAATTATTATATTAAGTTTTAATATTTAAAAGATAAAGAAATAAAAAAGGGAAAATATTAAACCTTTATAATAAAGAGAAGCTATATTAAATTTAATTTTTCTCTTCTTCGAAGGTTCTAAATACTAGAAAATAAATAGAGGATATATAATAGAAAAAGAAGACTTAACTTACTTAAGTAGAGTAAGCTAAACTATAAAAGGTTATTTAGAAGAATATATAATTATAGGAGGCTATAGAATAGAAGACTTAAAGGCTTATAAAGTAATAGTAGAAGATGAAAAAAAAGAAGTAAACTAAAACTATAGTTAAAGCCTAGTATAAGTCAAAATAGTAATATAAAGTAGAAGAGAGAGAAATATAGAGACTTATAAAGAAGGTTTAAAAGACTTAGAATATTACTAAAACTCTTTCTTTATCTACTAAATTAAATAAGAAGAAGTAGCTTATAAAGGAGCCTACTCTTACTTCTTCTATTTTTTCTATTTCTAATTATTTATCTCTATTAAAGCTAAGCCAAAGTAATTACACTATTAAGTCTAATACTTATTTATTTTCTTAACTATATTAATTTATATATAATTTAAATTCTAGTTATTATTTAGTATATTTATTTAATTTATTTAACTAGATAATTATTAAGATATTCGATCGAATAAAAGTAGTATAGAGATTTAGTACTATTTTTAATAGGTGGTTATCGAATGAAGATAGTCATCGAATGGTGGATCACGTTAATTAGTTACCATTTCTAATTGGTCAAAGGAAATGGGCGACTCATTTTGTCCAATGGATAGCTTGAATATTATTAATATTATAAGAAGCGTGGAGTTCAACTAGTTAACTAGTAACCAATTAACTAACTAGCTGCCAAGCCAACTAGTTAACTTGGTGTGTTCCCATTAGTTACATAGGGTGAAAAAGTCTCACGACAACAGCTCTTTCAAGGCTCAATCCACAGAAGCTTCGACGTAGCCTTCACCTCCTCCAACATATCTTGGGTGTGATGAAGATGCCGCAGTCTCTCAAGTTATTATTCTCACAAAGCTTTTGCAGGATCTCACGAGCCTTCCTGCCCACTCGCTCGTTATCCCGAGTCTCCGCTGCTCAGAATGCTGAGCTTGATATACAAAATGGCAAAGGTTTAGCCTCAGGTCTGTGGCAGTTTTATTCTGAGCTAACCTCTCAATCAGCAGACTGGAATTCACATGAGGACTTCTTTTCCTTTACCCGTGGTCGTTTTGTTGTTGCCGAAGCAGACCAGCTTGCACAGCGATGTGTCAAGTTCAACATGAATGAGCTTGCTCGGATTGCAGCTCAATCAGTAGGAGCCAGGGCCTGTGTTAATGTGCAGAAATGCCCTGATGGCATGTACAATAAGTGCTTTGTCTTGACTATGGATGACGGGCAGGAGGTGATTGTTAAAGTGCCTAATCCGAATGCGGGCCTACCCCATCAGACCACTGCAAGTGAGGTGGCGACGATGGATTTTGTAAGTTTGTATATAATCACTGACCTTATGTTGGCTGACTTCTATAGGCCCGTAATGTGCTTGGGACGCCAGCCCCAAAGGTATATGCTTGGAATTCTGGCACAACCAACGCAGTAGGTGCGGAGTACATAATCATGGAAAGGATGCCTGGGGTCCAGCTTAGGCAAGTTTGGAGCAGCATGAAACTTGTTGAGAAGATGAACCTTTGCCTTGACATTGCCCGATATCAATCTGCCTGGCTTTCTGTGACGTTCTCGCAATTTGGTGGACTCTATTATACCCAGGATGTGCAAAATTGTTTCTCGCAGCAAAAATCTCATCTTTACGTTGACGAGAATGGTACCAAAGTACAGAACAGTCGTTTTACAATTGGACCTGTTACGAGCCGAGAATGGTTGGACTGTGGAAGGGCTGGCTTGGAGTGTGATCGTGGACCATGTAAGCATTCTTATTACAATTTATTAAACAGGCACACCATGTGCTTATAAGCGCTATAGGGAGGTCTGTTCACGACTATTACAAAGCAATAGGGCATCGGGAAAAGTTGGCTATTTCAACTTTGGGTACTTTGCCAAAACAGACGGTTATGGTATGTGGCCCTGGCCTCTACCAGCCTGATAGAAGCAAAAAGCTATCCGCTGTGGAATGGTATTTGCAAATTGTCGATGCCCTCATCCCCACTGAAAGTGGGAGTATCACAACACCCTGTCTTTGGCATGACGACCTCCACGATGAGAATATATTTGTTGATCCAAGCAACCCGTCCAAAGTTACCGGGATTATAGATTGGCAATCTGTTAATCTTCTCCCACTCCTTGATCACAATCCCAATGCTGCTTTCATTGACTATGATGGCCCAGAACCAGAAAATCTAGACCGACCTGAACTTGGCAATATCGATAATCTGTCAGAATCAGAAAAAGAAGAGACGATACGGAAATTCCACCAGAAGGCTCTATTCATTGCCTCGCGAAAGATTATGTTGAAAAAGGTTCCGAAGGCGTATGATGCCATTGAGTATCAACAAACAGAGAGTTATGATCTACTTGTTCTAGCACGCCGCTTGCTCGAGTTTGGTGAAGCTCATTTCCAGGCACTCATAGTGGAATTGCGTGAGGCATGGGCTGGACTTCCGGCAAACAATACCAACATGAACCATACCAAACCTTTTCCCATTACACTTACTGAGGATCAAATAGCTGAGATCGAAACTGATTGTCAGAATGCAATTCGTGGAATGCAGATTATGAATGATTTCAAAGCCCGACTTGGCCCACTCTGGCCGGACAAAGATGCAGTAGGCAATGAGCAGTATAACGCGACGAAGGATGCACTCCGAGTACTGAGAGAAGAAATAATACAAGGGTTTGCAAAGTCTGAAGCAGATAAGATGGAAATAAAACGTCAATGGCCTTTTGATGAATAGAATTGTACTTACTTATTTGGAGAGTTACTTGTTTATTATATTGAAAGTTTTGCATCTTTGTGCTTTCTGTAGAAAGAATGTCGAGATACTCAGATTTGGTAGCTTCTGCATTTTCTTGAAATTGGGTCTAAAAGGCAAAGTTTAATACGTAACTAAATTCAGGCACTAGTAAGTAGCAGAGGGTAGCTATAAGGGAGGAGGCTAGGTGCCAGGACGAAAGGATATGGCTAAGGGAAGAGCTTCTAGCTAAGGTAAGAGGCCAGGAAAGGGGAGTAGACTAGAGAATTATGCACAACCATTTCCCAATCCTCGTCTCTAGGCTTTGTACTGCATGTCGCTTGAAATGTTCCGAGTAAAGTAACGGAACCAGCCCAAATCAACAGGACAAGGGGTAGGGTTTCCTCCAACCGGAAAGCGATTACCGAGAAGGTGGTAGACGTTCTTTTATGGAATCACTAAGTGTTGAGGGAAATGGGACCCAATCTCTGGTTCGACGTAATTGTACCGGATCAACTGCGCGGTAGCTTGGGTCCTGGAGTGATTGATATTCATTAGCCCTAGGTTTGGGAACGCTGGCTAAGGAAAGCAAAACTTACACAAAATCACGGCAGCCGTAATATTTCTCATCCACGGTACAGAAGTAGAAATACTGAAGGTTGTTGTCGGTGATAGCCCGGATCAAGTGCTCAAATGTGACACGCTGTTTGAGAGGGAGTACCGCTGTGCATGCCGAGCTAAACGAAGAAGCCCTGTACTTTATCGGTCGAACAAGCAACATGCCTAGCTTGTGGGAGTTACCCCCAGCTGATGTTTCACTCAAAACGTCAAAGTTGACTACCATGTTGATACGCGCGCCAGAATAGATGTCAACATCACGAACGAAGTCAGCTTTGAGGATGGCGTGGTTCTTAAGGCTCGCAATTTCCTCTGCAGTTCTCCCGTCGGTATCCATCTTCAAGAATTCAATGTAGAGGGTTTGTACTTCTGCCTGGAGGATCAATGGGGGAACAACATCCGGGCCATGGTCAGTGACATTGAACCCATCGTCAGGAATGATAAAAGAAGCCATAAGGTAACGGTGGTTTTGGTAGGGAAAGAAAGGATGTGTACTATGTGATTTAATTACTTAAGATGCAGAACAAAGTAGGTTCAGTTCATAATGGTGGTGGTCATCAGAATGGGACAATGACAGGTATTTATACCCAAGCTATCAACTTCTAGCCGCCATATTACTTAATCCATATTCCTCCATGCAACCGACATCCAGCGCTAACTGGAGCCATCTAACAAATCTGCCATCATTTAGAGAATGTGATTCACGTACATGTAAGAGGTTCAAGGGTATCTACAAGTATCTATTGGATAAGAGTCTTCCCAGTTATTTATATCGGAGGTATCATCAGTGGTGCACTCCGTAACGAGGTAGTAATTCATAATGGGGCCATTCCAGTGTGGGTACCGCATATGCCATTCGACCGAAATAGCAATCCTAGACCAGTGATGCGTACAGTGAGTGGTTATCTTCCGGCTGCCCAACCCCAATCGATGTGTTCGATATATATAGATGTTGTTGGTTCGGCGCTTAATGAAGGTTGAAGGTTTCGGGGAGGGCGGAGCCCGGAACTTTAACTCGCTCCCCGGCTGCTGAGTAAGCCACTCCAATCGGGCTAGCACAAGCTGTAAAGGCATAAAATGGATCTAACTCCTTCCAGCATGAAACGTTGTTGGTCAAAGCAGCATCAAGGATTATCCAACCTCCAGATCGCAACCGCCAGGCTGATACTGTCGTAGAGCCTCGGCCAATACATTAAACTTGTTAGGATTTCCCTTCCAAATGTGCCGACTACGACGATACACTATACCCCATTCCAGCCATGCCAGAAACAACGGGCTTGACGAAAGAATATCGAGGCGTAGAACCCCCGGCTGGGGTGCATCTTCCAACAGTAGCCGAAATATTGGAGATGTGCACTGCAGATGACAAACACCCTGCCGGACTCGCGTTTCCCTTTGAAGCGCCCGTATTCTGGATTAAATATGGCTTTGCAGTTGAGTGGAACGAGGTCCTGGCTCAGGCCATGGCGCACCGTGAACTCTTGAAACTACGCTCCCGCGCCCGGGTACCGGCAGTATTTTATGCGTTTGAGATAGCTAGGAAGACGTATATCGTTATGGAATACATCTCAGGAAGATCCGGGAGTCAGATCCTAGAAAGCACCTCAGAACCGGCGGAAAGGAAGGAAGTCTACCGGCAGGTAGCTTTCATGGTACAAGAGCTTCTACGAATACCCATTCCACCCAATTCTCGTCCTGCTGCCATCGACGGGGGAAAATTTACACACCTAATATTCTCTGATTATGAAGCTAGCAGGCATTATCATAATGCTGATCAACTCGAGCAACACTTTAATCTGGTACGCAGTATAATGTACATCCAACAGAAAATCGGCTAACAGAAATCTACAGTTCATGAAAATGGCGAAACGCGAACCGAAAATTCAAGGGCTATCCCGGGAGCCTCTGGTATTTAGCCACCCTGATATCTGGCCTGGCAACATAATTATCGGTGATGACGGCTGTACCACTATCATCGACTTTGCGGGAGCAAGCATCCTTCCTTCTAGCTTTGTTAAATACTCGATCACTACGACAAAGAAATATCGCGAGTACGATCTGATGCCCTGGGTTGACATCCCTTGCCCTGACGGAATTGATAACGTTAAGGCGTTATTCGCTATATCAGGCCCGATGGTCATGGGCTCGGGTTCCTTTGCGAGAGCAGGCTCGCGGGTGCCGGGGCATGGAGATCCAGTACCTGAACATGTGATTTCTTAGGCTCTACGATTCTTTTACCCTTTTTTTTCTACATTCTAGGACTTTGTTTTGGGTCGATTTACTACAAGCTCCAGATGTGCTCTGCACTCTTGGGGATGCTTTCAACTAGAATTTGAAGGGTGATGATGGAAATTTCTCTATTTGTCCCTCATACGATGTTCATGATGAACGAAACACCGAATGCACCATTCTGTTATTATCGGAAGAAATGCGGATTAAACAGCCCGCTACTGCGCAGAATTCCCTCACGAAATACTATTTCCATTTGGAGGAAAAATATGGATAATCACACTGGCCTGTTTTCTCTTATCGGGCACTTACTGCCCTATCTTCCACTTACTATTGTCCCAGGCATGAGGTTGCATGTCTGCTTAATCAGGGTTTCAAAAGGCTCATCACGGGCCTCGATCCACTTGCGACATATGTATCAAACTCCGCACCAAACACGAGGCACCTTTCCGGGTACCTTGGGCTTAGTGTCAGAAAAAACAATGTTGTTAAATGATTTCGCTAGGCCGCGGGAACGATGTCGTGCTGAAACAGTGAATCAACTTGTGACCGGGAACATCAATTCGTGATATCCCTCCAAGGCTCCATTCCCCCCATTGCTAAAGCTATGCGAAACAGCATTGATCAGAGCAAACTACACGTGAGTACAAGTTATCTTCCTCGTGAGAAATGATCTACGTCAAACAGTACGGACGGGGAATGCTTTTCTGCACTCCACACTGCCAGCGAGAGCAGCCAGCAAAACAAAGGAAGCAAGATCTCGAAGGGGATAGGCTGTCATATATGTCTAAATGACTGGGTCATCGACTACTTTCTCTTCTCCAGGAAAGGCGGATAATTTAAGAGGTAACTGGGTTTCACAAACGTTTAATTCTTCCGCCAGCCACATTCCATCATGTGCACAACCTTCAGCCAGTGCCGCGAGTTACACGAATTTCGATCCGGACCGAGCGAGGGCACCTGGAATGGCTCCGCTGATCAAAATGTGAAGATACGTTCTTATCTATACCCCGTGCCGGTAGTATCCTAGATCTATGACCGTCAAATTTAATGCCTTCCTCCACAATTTGGTTATGAACTACGAGTCAAAATGATTCTTTATATATTGGATAGCCTGGACGCTTCTACACGACTGTTGAACCGCCTTTTCCGCGTCAAACTCTTGTTTTCCCATAAATTATTTATACCTACCAGATGAAGATCCAATCACAGTGGTGAGCCAACAACAACTACCTCCCAACATGTACAAGGAGGAAGAATGCCGGCCGCTTCTTGCCCCTGAGCCCAGCTCCGAGTACCAGCCCACTCCACACACTAAGAAGGAGCTTCGCAATATTGAGAATGTAACAGTTCCCGAAACGGCGACATATGGGAGGAATATAACGTGCGGGGGGGCATATATCCTCGTTATGTCCCAGATGATTGGCTGTTCAATATTTGCGACTCCCGGCAGCGTTGTTCGATCGTGTGGGAGTGTCGGCCTCACTCTCCTACTATGGCTTGTTAGTGCGACTGTCAGAGCTTGCGATCTTGGAATTTATACAGAATACGGATGCATGTTACCACGTTCTGGCGCGGACAAGGTCTACCTAGAATTCACCTATCGTCGGCCCAGATTCCTTGCCTCAACCCTATTTGCAATTGCATCCGTTACCCTAGGTGTGTCAGCAACCAATTGCGTTGTCTTCGGCCAGTATATGCTATTTGCCTTGGGCATGGAACCAACAGTTGCCGCCCAAAGAGGGTTTGCGGTCGGCCTCTTAATCGCTGTATGCATAATCCATGGTTACTTCTACAAGCTCGGTATCCGGATTCAAAACTTTCTTGGATGGGTGATTTTGTCTATAGTTGGGTTCATGATATTCACAGGACTCTATGTTGTGCTTTTCCAGAAACGCCAAACCATCTCTGGGAAGCCTGAGCTATTCTCCTGGGGTGGAATGTGGCAAGGCTCTAATTGGGACTTTGGCGTCCTTGCAACCTCTCTCTTACAGGTTTCTAGCTCGTTTTCTGGATTGTGTACGACGAATGTCGTTCTTAACGAGGTCCAAAACCCAATCAGAACAGTCAAAGTCGTGGGGTTGATGGCGTTCGTGACTGTCTGCATCTTATATGCCCTCATTAATGTCTCCTACTTCATGGTTGTCCCGATCGAGGAGATCAAGAGCAGTGGACAGTTGGTTGCAGCATTATTTTTTGAGCGTGTGTTTGGCCCGGGGTTTGGTAAAACGGTTCTCCCTCTCCTTGTTGCCATATCGGCTGCTGGCAAGGTTATGGTCACTATCTTCTCATCCGTAAGTTATCTTCCGTATTAACTGTCTTCGTGTTTGATACCTTGCTGATTACCATGTTTAGGCCAGGGTAAACCAAGAAATAGCCAGACAAGGCTTCCTCCCTTTTTCTCGCTACCTTTCATCGTCAGAGCCGTTCAATACACCACTGGGAGGCGTAGTGGTTCACATGATCCCTACTTTGCTTACTATACTACTCCCACCACCAGGAGACATCTATAACTTCATCCTTGATGTTCAGGGATACCCGGGCGAGTTCTTTGGAATTGCCATAACATTTGGCATTATTCTACTTAGATGGAGACGGCCGGAACTCCAGAGGCCGTTCAGAACCTGGGTACCCAGTGTATGGCTGCGATTGGTGGTCGGCTTTTTACTGATTATTGCCCCATTCTTCCCTCCAAAGAACGGAAGGGGAGATGTTCATTTCTTCTACGCCACATATGCCATTGTTGGCGTAGGCATGTAAGTCTTCCGGTCTTGTCTCCTTATTCTATTCAATCAAAGCAACCATACTAACAATGCTGACCAGAATTATACTGTCAATTGTCTACTGGTGGATCTGGACGATTGTTATTCCCAATAGAAATGGTTACAGGCTCGAGGAGGAAATTGAAATCCTTCCAGATGGAACAAGTATTACACGGCTGGTCCATGTCGGTAAACGGGAGTTACAGTCATAAATTAGGGGTTCAAAGGTTCTATCAATGTCTCTCGAGACTACAACGTTATGTGGTATCAATTCTTTCGGTCTGAATAAGTATGAAAGTATGAAATAATGAACATCATAAAATCTTTTCTAGAAAACAGTTATATGCTCGATCAATAGATATAAGGTCTACCACCAGTTAATCAAACCTCTCCCTATATACGGTCTGTATGGGGATGTAAGCTTATTCAACTTGTATAAAGCAACCACAGGGAGCAGAATGTATTATTAATAGCTAGAGTTAGATCTACATTTCATGTATGTAAGAACACAGACTGCCAAATTCTCTTATCCCTGGAGCTCCTTGGTGTGTTGCTCCTCTCAAAGGGCGGAAGTGGCCTTGCCCACCAAAACCTCCCACATATAAATAGTTAGTTAGTGATTTGCTTAGTGTCTTTCTCTCACTTCTTCTTTTGCTCAACTACTTCTTCTTTTCTCTAGATAACCACACACAACCTTGAACAAAACACCTCCTTACGCGCAAGAAAACAACGTTTAGACCTTCAAGATGGGCAAAAGTATCATCCTCACGGGTGCTTCTCGCGGTAAGACAGTCACCGCCATGTGAAGACGCGTGAGATCAGCCAGCCACTAACAAAGCTGTCCCGCACTGCAGGCATCGGCTTAGCTATCGCTAAGTATCTCTTGCAGGCGCCACATCGCTGCAATGTGGTTGTTGTTGCCCGCACTGAGGCCCCCTTGCTGGAGCTTAAGGAGCAGTATGGCACTCAGGTGCAGGTTGTCTGTGGTGATATCACCGACCCCCAGGTTGCCCATAAGGCCCTTGCCCAGGCTCTCTTGTCCTACAGCAAACTCGACGGCCTTGTTATCAATCACGGAGTTCTTCCCCCCGTCACCCGCCTCGACCAGTTCTGCCACCGAGAGTGGGTGAAGGCGTACGATATTAACTTCTTCAGCGCCGTGGAGCTTGTATGTTTGACTCTACAGTTTCTATTCTCTAACTAGTTGCTATCTTTGCTAACCAACCATTTAACAGGTCAAGCAATGCATCCCGCATCTTCGCCTGGTTCGTGGCAGAGTCATCTTCACTTCTTCCGGTGCTGCAACCGGACCCGTCAACGGCTGGGGCATGTACGGCTCCTCCAAGGCGGCGTTGAACCATCTCAACATGACTCTGGCCCATGAGGAGCCTGAAATCGTCTCTATTTCCATCCGCCCAGGCATGGTTGACACTGACATGCAGCACCACCTCCGCTGTCAGCATCTCGGCATTCTCGGTCCCAAGGACAGCGCTAAATTCGTCAAGGCCCATGAAGAGGGAAAGCTGTTGAAGCCAGAGCAGCCTGGCACCGTCATTGCCAAGCTTGTCATGAATGCAACTCATGATCTCAGCGGCAAATTCATCACGTTCGTCTTCTTCCTACCGTAATAACGATCCGTGATTGCGTCTTATTTTACTAACCAAGTCTCTGCTACAGCTGGAACGACCCAATCCTGGCCAAGTACCAGGCATGAAACTCTACCCAAATTAACCTGCGGTCAGACCTGAGACTGAATATCAGCTTAAATACTTGAAGTATGGAAAGACGGTTGGCAAGGACATGTCATAGGAAAGTAGAAATAGCTCAGGCGAAAGGTTAATAATGATACATGTTGTAATCATTAGATGCAAAGCACCTTAATATTTAGCATGGAGTGAATTTTTTTCTTCATTGCTATTGTGTGCGGCAGGCTTGGAAATAAGAGGGCTCAAGCAGAATACAACATACCATTGAACTAGTTTAGCTTAACGAGGACTCAACATAACAAAAGAGAAGATTTCTACGGAGTACAGATCAACGCCTCTTGAGTGTGCGTCACTTCCATATCCATCGAGGTTCTCAAAGTAATACGGTTTCATTCTTGGGGCTTTTCAAGAGCCGTCTGAATACAGCGGGTAATCTAGGAGCTTTGAGCCAAGTTAGCCATGGAGTCCCTTCAACGATCGGTCAAGGGCTAGTAGGCGGAAGGAGTTTATTTGGGTTCAGGAGTCCGTTTGGCTAGGACAGGTAAATCACCACGGAATTGTATGATAGGGGCGACAACAAAGTTCATCATTTGGATGGAGTGAATATCAAAACAGAAGCAGGAGAAATACGTACCATTAGCATTGTTAGCAGTGAAGAATCTGCAGTTCTTCTCGTGCATGAAGAATGAGGAAGAAGAGAAGAAAAATTGAAGTTTTTATTTTTGTTTTATATCGCGAATTTTTCCAATTTTTTTTAGTGAAAAGGAGAAAAGAAACTCCGGGTTTGCTGAGTCAGCTTCCGAGAGAGCCTCGAAGTTAAAAAGAGCTTCAAAGGTTGGAGTCGAAGACGAAGAAAAAGAAGGAAAAGGACAAGAACAGAAGAGCGAAGATAATATTATATTGGAATAGCTGCCATTTCAAGCGCATATACTCGATTTTGCTGGTATTTTACTGCCTGTTGATCCTTTACTACTCAGCACCATGTCCGACAGGGAATTCGGAGGTAAGCGGCATGCGCGCGGAGCTCGACTGTGGGAAGGATGCGAACTGACTTGCGCCTGGCAGGAAACGATGACCTCTCCCTACCAAAAGGTACCCGTGAAGCTGTTCTCCCGCTCTTCCAGTGTTGACGTGCTGCCTATACTGCTGAGAGAAGCTGAAGCACCGGCGGCTTTTCAAAAGGCCTACCTAGTCTGCAACGGATATGGACAATACTAACCCCACTCTCCCATTAGCTACGGTGCAGAAGATTATAACGGAGATTCTGCCGCCCTCTTCTGGCCAGACCTTTGCAAAGGATGCCCGGGACCTGCTCATCGAATGCTGCGTCGAGTTTATCACACTGATATCATCCGAGGCCAACGAGATCAGCGAGAAGGAGGCAAAAAAGACAATCGCCTGTGAACACATCGAAAGGGCACTCACAGACCTTGGTTTTGGAGACTATGTCCCTGATGTGCTTGCGATTGCCGAAGAGCATAAAGAGCAACTTAAGGTACGACTTAACGGTTCCAGATTACCGTAGAACCTATTACTTCTTCCTGCCTGATATACATACCCCATGTTATAAAAGAGAGAGAGAGACTGACTGATTTTGGCAGACTCGAGAGAAGCGGACAAATAAGATAGACCAGAGCGGCATGTCACACGAAGAGCTACTGCGGCTCCAGCAAGAGCTCTTCCGCTCAGCTGGAGAAAAGTACAATTCGGGGAGCTAGGCGGTCTTTAATAGCACTTGTCCCCTTAGCGCATGTGTTTAATGATGCTTACGATATGCGACGAGTCTCTTCTGGAGCTTAACGGGATATCTTCTTTTGGGGGTTGGTTCTGTGTTGCCTGGCGTCAGTTTGACTCTTATTACTACTGTTACTACTACTACGACCTTTTCATCCTACGCATTCGTTATACTTCCACCCTACTGCAAATTTTAAAGATATATAGAGCATCAGCGAGAATATTCTTTTCTTACACTACAAGATCCCCTCTTGCTACCAGCTCTAGTGATCTTTTTATTGCTTTCGCTTTCTTTCACTTCTCGCGCGGGCGCGCTGTATATCACGTGACACTTCTGCTGCCAAAAATGCAAAAGCTGAAGCTTCATAAAAAACGAACTCAAGGGAAATCAGCGAAACAGCTACAGAACCAGGAACATCCCGACAAAGCGCTTCTACTTGGTCTACTCGCCCTCTCACTGCTCGGACCCGGTCGCGTACCGCTTCTCTAAACATTGCTGCGCTCACCATTGAGCTCTGTTCACTGCCGGGTGTGTGAATCGCCGGTGCGACGCGGCGGAGAAGCTGCCCACCATGCCGCAATTCAGCAGTGATAACATCCTGGTACGCTGTTTTCGACGAGCAAAGCTCCATATTTTATGCTGAGTACGGCCACTAACACGGCTAATTGATAGTTAATCTCGCCTGGGTCGCAAGTCACCCTCGCGCAGCTCGGACTGCCAGAGTCCTTTACCCCGGCTCGATTTCGTTTCCCGACGCGCATGTTCCCTGCCGAAAAAAAGGGAGAATGGGAGCCTCATAGGATACGCGGGAGGGTCGTCAAGGTCAGGAAAGTAGTATCGCCAAAGCCAGCGGCACCAGCGACGGAGTCTTCTGTTCACGCGAGCGATGAGGGAGCCGCTGCTGCATCTGGTTCTACTGCGGAAGACAGCTCGAAGCAGGATATCGAGATGAAGGATGCCGCCGATGACAAGGCGAAAGAGACTCAGGCTACCGGTGAAATAGGCGAAAAGCCAGCAGAAGCCGTTGAAGAGACGGAAGAAATGACCGTGTATGAGGAAGATACAATGTCGGATGAGGGTGCGGTTTATGCATTACACAATGGAGCCGTGGTGGACTGGTCGTGTTTCTTCGCGCTCCTCACACATGTATACAACACCCTGAGCCCGCCTTTCCACACACCAATGATAATAATTGCACAACCAGTCTGGACGGCCGCAGATCGAGAGAGGTTGACCCAGTTCGTGTTCGAGAAGTTCAAGACGCCAGCGTTTTGTCTGATGGACTCTGCCTTGGCTGTCTGCTACGCATACAATACCCCTAATGCTACCGTTGTTGATGTGGGCCATGGCAAGGCAGATGTTACGGCTGTAACAGATTTCATAGTGAGCGAACACGGACGAGGAATAGCCCTGGAAGGGTGCGGTGGTCAAGCATTGACTGATAGACTACTGGAACTGCTGGGACCCAAAGGATTCACCCGTGAAATGTGTGAAAAATTGAAGAGGAACCCGATTTGCGAAATCCTACCGCCTGGCACTCCGTTACCCAAAGACAATGGCTCTGACTCGGCGAATCAAGAGTCTATCAAACAGGCTCCTGCTCCAGGCATGGGTCCCGATATGCCTAGAGGCCTAGGAAATGGCGAGAAGGAAGATGACGACGGCGTGCTAGACGTTGCTAGCATTGTCAGCAGGGGTAATGCCAGTGAATTCATTGCCAAACGAGAAAAGGAAAAGGCTGAAAAGGCAGCATCCCGAAAGGGCCAAGCTGCGGAGTCTGCTGCCGCCAGACAAGCCCGTTTGCCAAATTCAAAGAAAGCAAGGGCTATTTTCCATTATGAAGGGTTAGCAGAGCCACATGCCGGGGCCAATGACCAAACACAGCCTACCAAACAAAAGAAGGAGATTGAAGTAGGGGTAGAGAGACTTATGGCTGCAACACCTCTTGAATCAGGTGCTGATGAGAGGTGTGGCTACAGTATCTTGGAGACACTTGCAGCTCAGATCCATCATACAATTCTCTCTGTTCCCGATGCCTCAACACGCAGCAGTTTGTGGGACTCTCTCATTATACTTGGAAACGGCAGCAAAGTAAAAGGTTAGTCTCCTATCGCCAATTGGTTACTTAAATTGTTGTATTCTAACCTTTGTATCACAGGTTTCCCTCAAGCACTCCTTTCTACTATCACACAGAAATACGTGCTGTCCCCGTCCTCAGGGACTATATTTACCTCAGAGATACCTTCAACCTTCTCAACTCCTCTAGCAACGGGGGCAAACACACCAGCTCAGCCTCAAAACCCAGGTCCTTACCTTCACCCTGCTGCTCATGGTGTGAACCCGCTGCTTGTAGCTGCTACTCACTCAAATACCCCCGCAACGCCCAACAATCTAAACTCCAATGCTGCTCTCTCTGCTGACCCCAACATGCTTGCACACCATAAATCCACGGGCCATTCACAAACACCGACAGGAATCAAACTGCTCAAACCCCCAGAATATTTCCCCGAGTGGAAAGAACAAGGCTCATCAAGTGCGGCCGCTGCGGTCCCCGGTACAAACCCACCAGCAAACACAGACGCTAGCAATGCGAATGCGGCAACCGGAGTGGCATCCGGTTCTAACAACGTTGGCATGGAAGAGGCAACATTCCTCGGAGCACAGGTGGCTGCCAAGGTGATTTTTATTGTGGACCAGGGTGCTAGCAAGGGTTATCTCAGTCGTGTCGAGTATAATGATGCTGGTCCAACGGCGATTCACAAGTATTGTTTGTAAACTGTCTGTCCCCTTTTTATGCTTCCTTTTTGTCTCCACTGAGCTTGTATCGTAACGATTTGATCGGGATAGGAGTGACGGTAGCTACAACATTGGGTAGATTTGTCTTAATCTTTCGTTCTTCTTTCATTTCTTCTATTATCTTTATGTCTTTATGTGGCTCCTCTTTTCCTCGTCCTCCATTTTATATCAGCTTTGGGTATGTAGATGTGCTAGTCCCAAAGGGGTTAGCGTCTTTTCTTATCGCCCACAACTTTGATAAACTCTAAAAGTTACTAATTTTTTTTTTTTTTTTTTTATTTTTGAGAGTTGCACTTTTTCTAATTATCTGAATGCAAGAAAGTCGACGCTGAAAGGCAAGCATTCGAGCCCAATAGCTCGTGCTAGACGAGTACTTAGTGCTGAGGAAGAGATCCCTTATTTTTTTTTTTAAAAAAAAAAAAAAAACCAGAACCCATCGAAGAAAGGACAGGGTGCAATTTCATCCTCGTTAACAGCCCCTCGGCAGGAAGCACCATGCCGAAACCGACCGCGAAGACATCGTCTTCCGAACGACGACATATACCCCTAGCGGACGAAATAACATCTGCTGGCCATCTCAGAACAAAATCGGGCAGCAAACGGAAGTCAAGGTCCGAAGACGAGACGGAAGATGACCACTACCTCGATTCGAAGTCCTCAAAGAAGATCCTGCAAATTGGAAGAGATCTCGCCGAGGAAGATGCGGCAGAGACCAGGGCTGCTGCAGAGGCTGCTGGTATTGATTTGAAAGCAAAGGCTGCGTTTGATTTTGAGTCCCGACTAGCTGGTGAGGAGTCAAGATACGAAGACGATGAAGATATTGTCCAATATGATGATGATGCGCAGTGGGAAGATGAAGGAGAAATTGAGGAAGTGGTACGCTTTCATGGATTTATTCGCCTTGCTATACGCCATTACCAGCTATTGCACTTCATTTTACTAATATTTCAATTACTTGTAGGAAGTCGACCCCAATGACTTGGATATGTTTCACAAATTTCTCCCACGAGACGAAGAAGATCCTGTGTTTCACCCAAGGGAGGGTGGTACGGAAGGAAATGGCGAAAGTACCAATTTAGCGGATCTCATACTTGAGAAGATTGCAGCACATGAAGGAGGCCAGTCAACGGAGCCCCTTGTTCTCGGAGGGGGTGCTCCAGAAGACGCCATCGAGATTCCAGCTAAGGCATTAGAAGTCTACGATAAGTATGTCAATCTACTCATTATTGACATTTCAGTACAGTACGCATTAATACTAATCTGAATATAGAGTCGGTTACCTCCTCTCACGTTACAAATCTGGACCCCTCCCCAAGCCATTCAAAATTCTACCTACTCTACCATACTGGGATGCTCTACTCTCGGTCACCAAACCGGAGGCGTGGACGCCAAACGCAATTTACGCAGGCACTAGGATATTCATATCCGCAAAACCTCATATTGCCCAACAGTTCATCTCCATGGTGCTCCTAGAACGAGTCCGAGATGATATTAGAGAAACAAAGAAATTGCATGTACACATATACAACGCTTTAAAGAAGGCCTTGTATAAACCTGCGTGCTTCTTTAAGGGACTTTTGTTCCCACTCATAGCCAGCGGAACTTGCACACTACGAGAAGCACAGATAGTATCCAGTGTGATAACGCGAGTGTCTATACCCGTCCTTCACTCAGCCGCTGCGCTTCTCCGGTTATGCGAGATTTCAGCAGAACAAACCATATCCTCTTTCAATGCAGAGGGCACGGGTGCTACAAACATGTTCATCCGTGTATTCCTAGACAAAAAATATGCACTGCCATATAAAGTCATTGATGCCTTGGTATTCCATTTCCTCCGCTTCCGTGCTACGAAACCAGATGAGAACGGCGATGCAAATATGAATGGGACAGGATCGTACTCAGCTGCAGCAGCAAGGGACTATAAGCTTCCCGTCCTATGGCATCAATCGCTTCTTGCATTTGCCCAGCGTTACCGCAACGATATCACGGAGGACCAGCGTGAGGCGCTACTTGATCTTTTGCTGTCAAACGGGCATAAAGACATTGGCCCAGAGGTACGGAGGGAGCTGCTGGCCGGAAGAGGAAGAGGAGTCGTCGTACCTGAAGCTGTTGAAAACAACGGAGGCGATGATACAATGGATATGACGATATAACCAAGATACAGGCGGGTAAAGGTTTCGTCTGGCGTCTTTAATGGTGGCATGCTATGTCGTATTTTGGACCGAAATATACCAATGATATTTTTTGTTTCTGGCATTTCACTGTCCCTTTATATTAAAACAGGTATCTACTTATCATACAGCATTAAGCTCATTCCATGGCTTGGCTCATTGCACTTGGTGTATCTGGTGCTCCGTCTATGGTCACGCTCGTGGGGGCGCTTGCAACGCTGGCCTCTCGTAGGTTTGAAGGCGCTGGTGTGGAAGCATTCGTGCCGCCAGCTGTGTGCGCAACTGGTAATTCTAGCTTCCAGCCAGTACAAATTGCATCCACTTCATCGACGATATCAGCTAGTATGTCCTCGCATATTTGGTCGTTGAATCTATCACCAAAGGGCTTCACGTTTGGAAATTCGTCGGTAGGGGGCCCAATGAACCAAGGTGCCTCAAATCGACAATCTACTGCTCCTCCATTATGGCAGCTAACAGTAGGGTAATAGCCAATCATGCCGTCATCAGCATTCTCTCGCTCGCCAATTCCCAAGTTGTTGCTCGCTTGTGCAAACCGAGAAGCTGGTGGAAGGAAAGCATATAAATTCTGAAAGGGAGTTCCCATTTTAACCCCATTCTTAAAGATAGTAATGCTGGAGCCAGGGAGTGTTCGAAGGGAAGCATCTTCTGCATTTCCTGGAGAAGGAGGCCCATAAGTAGGGGTCTCTTTGAGATTGAAGGCATAATCTCGGAGATGTTTCGAAGCAAAGACATGGCTCTGCTGATACATAAAATCAGACTTTAGATGGAATGGAATTCGATCCCGGATGAAATTAATCGGTACCGGCTGGGGGGTTGGATGGTCTACATCCATTTCATCCCCTTCAGCTGGCGATTCGTACGTCCCTTCAACGACCTTCTTGTGCAGTTCAAGCGGTGGAAGGGTGATCAACATGCCAATCACATCGCCTTCACAGATGGATTCGTCCTTGGGGAAAAAGTACTCGCATCTCATTCTGTTAACAACTTCGCCATTAACGTCCCGAATACCATAACCGTAGCAGTCAACGCCGACATTCACATCAAGGTCAGCTTCACGGCGCGCAAATCCAAGTCGTATATTCCCACGAGGTGATGGCCCCGGCTGTGAACCTCGAATCACTCCGCTTACCACCTTGGCTTCATAATAGTATGTCCCCTCTCGTGCGCAGACATTTGCTCGAGCTGAATGCCATGGGTCACTGGTGCTTACTCCTCGGGCATCTTCTGTGAAAGTGATACAGGCAGGAGAGTCTTCGAAGCTGAATCGTGAATGGTAAGGCGGTACATCGGTTTGTCGATATCTAATGTGTGGGAAACCCGGGTCTTCAATTGCATAGGTATATCTAAAACCGTTTCTATTGCTTACTCTAGATCGTTCTGTTAGCTATATGAACTGCCACAGCTACTAAAGCTCAATACATACTTGTCCGCAATATCATAGAATTTATACTCCTGACCAATTATCTCGGATTTTTTTGTACAAGACAAGTTCATCTGGCGTGGTTTTGGGTGTAGCACATCCGCAGGACGAGGGTCGGCGACCGGTATGGGCATGAGCATGGGTAGCTCTAACGACGGAATAGCCGAGCTGGAAGAAGAAACAGTCGTCTTCCTCTCATAACCTCCATCACCGGTATCCTGGCGCTTAGCGTCATGTCTCTTTTTATATTCACGTTTCGTCCTCTTTGCTTTCTCCCTTGCCTTCTCGCCGCCGGTGGTCATCTTGTATTGTGAGGATGCGGATCCGTGGGCAATTTAGGGTTGAACCTGGATGAGTAGGAGGGCGGTATCATTCCAAAACGGCACGACCAGCATCGTTTCATCTATTCCGACCCTTGAGCGTTGTCTCGGCGGAGCAATTGTTTTCTGCGTCTTGATATCAATCAGCGCTGTGAGGTTCAGTCGAAACCGGGAATGTGTCACGTGATATGTATTTGACGGGAGTGACGGTACTGAAAGATGAAGAATCTACAATAATCAATATCTTACAGGTATATATCCACAATGTACAAAAAGGTGGATGAGAGTACAGTCTCACGTCTTGCCTATCTCTTCAAGCATCTTCCCCACCTCTAGGACCATATCATCGTCTCCAAACTGGCCAATGACTTGTACCCCTGCATGGCGTGGAACACTTTGACTCTTAGATTCTTCTCCGTCGAAGAGTATCGGAACACTCAATGCAGGAAGGCCTGCAAGGCTGCACGGGACGGTGAAAACATCGTTTGTGTACGCATCAATAGGTGAAGAATTTTCCAATGCTTTTATAGCGGGTGCAGCTGAAGGAGCTGTGGGGCAGATGATCACATCAATCTTTGCATTTCTCCCAGCGTCCTCCTTATCGACAAGGTCTCGTGACCCCAGGGTCGTTGATGCTGCGTGTAGAAGCGGGTGTTGAAGTCGAAATACGGAGTCAAAGTCGGCCTGAACCAATCTCCGGATCTTCTGCGCTTGAATGAAGTAATTGTCAATTTTATCTGCGCTGAGAGAGAACGTTCCCAGCAGTATTCGCCGCCGGACTTCAGCTCCGAACCCTTTTCCACGTGTGTTTGAATAAAGATAGTCCCCCGCATTGTCCGCAGATTCAATGTCTCTGGTGCCGTAACGAACACCGTCGTACTTTGATAGATTCGACGAGGCCTCCGCTGGGGCCAAGACATAGTATGCAGATAAAGCTTGTTTGGTGGCCGGAAGCGTGATAGGATGAATGCTATGTCCTTTGGACTGGAGGTATTCGAGAGTTATCTGCCATGCAGATCGGATCTCAGGACTCAGTTCATGTATATTGTACTCAAAAGGGACTCCAACTCGCAGTCGAGTGGGTCGTGCTGATGCCTCCCTGACAGCAGTTAGGATGCGTGACCGACTCGTTGGTGAAATGCTGGTTGGATCACGACTATCATAACGGTTTACCACATCTAGTATACGAATATTAGTTATAGATAATGGCTGCATAATGAAACGTTCCGGCTTACCAAATATGTCATGGATAGTGGATGTGTCTTTCGCGAATATTCCAACAGTATCGAGGGAGTTCGCGTACGCCACAACTCCCCATCTTGATATTAGGCCATACGAAGGCTTAAACCCAAAGACACCCGTATATGCCGCCGGAAGACGCACTGAGCCACCCGTATCGGTTCCCAATGCCCTGCTTGAGTTAGCACTATATTGGATATACCTTGGAATGTGACATACGCATGGCATTGGCCGGTAGCAACTGCAATAGCACTGCCTCCGGAGCTTCCACCAGCCGAATAAAACTCATCTCCTCCATTTTTATTTTTCACAGGGCCGAAGTGGGAATGTATGGAGTGAGAGCTATAAGGGTGTTAACATTTAGCATCCGAACGACCCTCCCATAGCTAGCCGTTGGGAAAAGGCAGCCTACCCCATGCCAAACTCGTCCAAGTTCGTCTTCCCAGCCACAATAGCGCCTGCATTCTCCAATAAATCAACAACGGTCGCGTTGAAAGGGCTCGTAAAATCTTGCAGAGTCGCAGATCCGCAGGTGGTTGGTAGTTCGCTGGTGCAGATGTTATCTTTCACGCCTATGAGTTTACCATCCAACGGCGATATAGATACATCTATCGATTGCTCAATTGAGATTAGCCATGAAGGAGCTATATAAGTAGAGTGATGGGTATATTTCACCTTTCCCACGGCGGTAGTCCGCAGCTTGAGCTCGCCCTCTCCATGTCGCGGAGCGCTCTAATGGAGTGATGAAGGCATTTAGGCTGGCAAATGTCTTCTGATTAAGTAGACATTTCTCTGCCTCGCGCAAGAAGGACATTTATCCTTCAATTTCAAAACCAGCTACAAACCGTCGGATGTTTGCAATGTTGAATTAGAGAGACGGAAATAATAGTTTAAACATGAGATAAGGTCCCGTCCCGTCAGAGAGACGTCACGTGATGATCTCTATGTCCCGGCACCAAGAGCTGGATCTAAGCCGCATAGAAGAAACAAAGTAGGAAATTGAACACTACCATATCGAATGGACCCAAGGAATAATATATATAAAGTCGTAAAACCCAACTACCACGGATATCTAGCGCCGCTTCAAATGGAGATGGCGTGACAAGCCTCATGTTCATGCCCCAACTCCAAACCGATTATGACAGGCGAAAACGAAATAAGAAATGAAAACGGTACCAGGGAAAAGGAAACGAGTAGCATATGTCTGTACAGTCATCCAGAATTAAGGACATCGGAAAGAAAGGCAACGACATCATCCTCTCAATGCCCTCAGTCTGCCCGCCAGGCCGTCTTCAAACTCCGCCTCTTTCTGTTTGTTGGCCACAGTAAGCTCTTCGCGTGGAGCGGCATTCTCCTCCAAGCCCTGACGTAAATCGACCCCAGCACTATCCGCCAGTCGCTCCATGAGACGGTCGACATCTTCATCTCCCTCAGCGCCATACTCTTGCATCTGGACATCTTTGGAAACTCCCTCCAGAGCAGACCCAGCCAGTTTAAAGTCTTCTGACCGGGAGACGAACTGATTGGCAACAGCGAGTGTGCGTTCAAGATTTATACTCCTTGATGCTGAGTCAAGTGCCTTGGATGCTTTCATGAGGGATCGTGTAGAGTCGCGGGTACTTTTGGCGGCGGAGAGATCGCTGTATATCACGTCTGCCTCTGCTGATTTTGAAAGCAGGGTAACGGACCGGCGTTTTTCGCGGATTGCTGAGCTGGCGTGGATGCGGGAGATTTGGAATTGTCCTTTCTTCATGGCTTTGATAGCCTTGTCTTCCTGTGCGCGGGCAGAAGCTTCGGCCTTGGCTGCTTGTTTCCGTAGCTGGTTACCGTTGACCTAGTTATGTCATTAGTTATGCACCTAGTGAGGATAGTATCCTGAAAAGCAAGGATGGGCTTGGAGTGGATATATACCTTTACTTCGGCCATGGCCTCAAGGAGGGGGTCTCGCATACCCATATTAATGGCGGTAAGTCTAACACCGAGGAGTATGCACTGGGGGCCAAAAGAATATAAGTTAGGGGTGTAGCAGATAAAGGCTATGCCATGTAAAGCACTCGGGAAACAGAGCTCTACCGTATGATATTGGGTATCTCTATGTCATCAGCAGCATCGCTGTGTGCCTGAAGTTCGACGATGAAGATGTCACAGCGCCAAGCCTCCAACTGACGTAATAATCACGTGCTATATTTGTCATGTGATTTAAACGGAGCCTCATCGGAACACAATTTATTCCGTAACCTAATTCCTGGAACCCTAAAGCCCCCGCCCGCCCGCACCACCGGGATCTTCCATAGAACCTTAATTGAAGCTATTTGTCAACATCAGGGGCTTTTTCTATCCTTAGACAGGCACGCAGAGGTTCCAAAGACGGTGAAAAGGAACCTATCTCAGGCTACATGAATATTCAGAAGCCTGCGACCACATGTAAATACCCACCCTTCCACTCAATAGTTACTAGGATCTTGTGCCAATCCCCGCAGGAACGCATCCAGAATGTCCATGAGAGACTCCCAGGCTGTCTCTTATTCAATTCATCAAGCCATTTTCTATATCAAATCACTGCCCAGACGACATGCTATTATGCTCAAGAATAATCAATTTATGCATGTTAGCCGATATTCATTGGATTTTATTTGAGAAAGGTCATGAAGTATCGCGACAGGGTTACTTATCTGCCGGGGACTGTCGGGGACTGTCGGGCAGGTGTAAAACTAGCCATACCCAAAGTGATCTGTCTTGTGATGCGGTATATTATCACAAGCGGGTAATATCCACTTCACCTCTATTTTTCAATGAATTGTCTGTGATAGTGCAATGTCTAGCCTGCTGGCTTCCTATTCTTGCCACGCCGGATAGAAGGCTTCCTGGGAGGGCTGTGTATATAAAGGGGGAACACATCCACAGGAATTGAGAGTACTTTCCAAGTCAAGCCAATCTCATACAATTCTCCCCTTCATCAAGAACAAGATCAAGATCAAGATCAACATGAAGTTCTCCATTTTCTCCGCGGCTTCTCTTCTGGCCACCGCTGCCCTGGCAGGAACTGCCTGGGAAGAGCGTCACGGTCTCGCCTTTGATCCCTTCAAGCACACCTTCGACCAGCTGACCAAAAAAGGCTACCGTCCCACATATCTCACCGGCGATGCTGAATCGAATGGTGACCCTCGACACAACGGCATTTTCAAAACGCACCTCCTCGACGGGATAAGCTGGACAGCCGAGTATGGCTACGAGCCTAAAAAATTCGGCGAAACCATCAAAAATCTGAGGAGCGAAGGGTACTTTCCCATGCAAGTTCAGGGATATAACATTGGCAAGGAGCCAACTGAAGGCCACCTGAGACGATTCAATGGCATTTGGAATAAATACATTGACGGGAGGACAGTCCGTTGGGAATTGCTGGTGGACTCAACAAAAGACCAGGTGACGGAGGCTTTGCACAAGTTTCCACCGAAAGGATATCGTCTTGTTAGTTTGAGCGGGTATGGCATCAGATCTGAGCAGCGCTTCACCGCAGTGTTTCAGAGAACCCCTGGTCCGGATTGGAAGGCAGCTCTTGGTATGCGCAGGGATGAATACCAGAGGAGAACGGAAGAGATGAGGAAGCTAGGCTTTTTTCCGGCGGATCTCAGCGTGTATAACATTCAAGGGACAGTGTTCTTTTCTGCTATCTGGCAGCAGGAGGGCGGCAAGTTGGACAAGTCAATGTCTAGGTTTGGAATGACTGCAAAAGAGTTAGAGGACTGGTTCAATCAGTACAAAGAAAAGGGGTACGAGCCAATGACTGTGTGTGGGTATCTCGAACACGACTCTCTGAAGTATGCTGCCATCATCGGCAAGCCATAACGATACAGTTGACATAATCGTTAATTTCTAATACTTAACTAATTTAATAATATTCATGGTTGACTACTCCTGTTGAATACGACAATCTAAACTCCGTATAATCTTGATAGAGACTGGCCAGTGAAGATGAGTAGAAGCAGGTAGGTGAGGACTGCTGTTTGTTTTCTGGTCCTTTTTACCAGCCTTTCGTCCATTTAGTTAACTGGCGGGGCCTGAGTCCACTGCTTGAGGCTACCACATAAATAGGGGGTGGCATGTGGAAGCAACCTAACCATGAGCCAAACCCCGGCCGGATATCGCCGACATCCTTCTTCCTCCTGCTACAAGCCCTATGCCATGATCCGAGGTTTTGACTTTTGACGGACGAGAGGGTATAGATCTTCTCTGATATCAGATACTGGACCTGAGGTGCCAGAGTTTTTAATTCATTACTCTCAGTCCAACTTTGTGAGCAGGTAACAAGTCAATAAGATAAAAGGGGCGAAATGAGTATGTGACGGTTCTTTGACCATTTTTCAATACAGATCAGAAGATCAGCTGCAAAAGATAAAGATGATCGGAGTAATTGTGGATGTATTGAACCTAATCCTAAATTCTGTAGCTATGACCAACCCAACTAGTACTCCTTGCACCCCGAACGCCGTGACCATGACCGAGAAGAGAGCGAGCCTCGCTTCGTCGGTACTTGTTTGTTGACTCCAATAACCTTCCTTGGCCGGTCTCTAAGTGACCTGCCGCTGTTTTTCCCTCTAGATGATGATGATGGTGATAATAATGCTGCTCCCCTCTTCTCTGCCCGATCAATCGCAAAAAGGATGGTGACCAGTGACTCCCATCGTTGCCGAGACTCCAGCTGAACGATCGACTGACCTGACCGAGAAGATCCGAGCATTGCACTCTCACTGAGCACCAGCTGCAATTCCCTGCTCGTCGCATCTCTCAAGGGACGCGCCAAAGCTGGGCTGCAAGCCAGAAGCCGGGAGAGGAGTCTGCTCCGGAAGACCGATCGAGTCGTCGAGTTTCTGCTGGAGTTGTTGTTGGTTGTCCTCGTCGGGACCGAGATCAACCAGAGAATCAAAGGCAAAAGGGCCGAGATCTGAGTCGGGGAGAAGTTCAAGGGAGAACCCGTCTTCAAGGAATGAAAGATCAGGCTCGCTGGATGAATCAGCGTCGAATAAGCGGCTGAGGTCAGCGTCTGATAGAGGGGGAGGGTGAACATGATCATGTTCATGAAGGAGAGGTATGCTGAGGTGGCTGAGGTTGAGGTCATCCAAGGCCGGGCCTCCGATTGACACTGCAGGTCACACAACACCGCTGCAGGATGTTGTGTCAAATCGGAGGGGGCGGCGGAGGAGTGATCCAAGTCAGCCGGTGAGAGGGTGGTCGACGACGTCGAGTTTATATGGTTTGAGGTGGTGGTGGTGGTTGTTGTAGGAGTAGTAGTTGGGTCTGGGTTGGTAGTGAATGGAATGCTGTCTATATTGTCCAGCAGGTCGTTTTCCTGCTTGAACAGAACGGGAGCCAAAGTAGGAGATGTCGAAGGGGCGAGGGTGGCCGAGATGCTTGACGTGCTGGCCGAGGCTGAAGCAGAGGCAGGGCTGCCTGGATTAGACTTGGAGGTCTGTATCTCAGAGGCCAGTTTCGCCACCTGCTGGCTGAGCCGGTTGTTCTCAGCCTCCATTTGTGAGAGACGGCGGAGGAGGAACTCGTTCTGCTGCTCGATCTTGAGTTTCTCGCCCTCGAGCTTCTCTATCTCGAGCCTCTTGCGCTCGCGGGAGATCTGGGCGGCGGCACGGTTGCGTAGCACCCGTTCTATCCGCCGCTGTTCCTTTTCATCTTCTGTCTTTGCTCGTTTTCTACGTCAAGTTAGTAACTGCTATTTGACCAATAAAGACAACCTAGAAAAAAAAAAGGGGGGATGTAGTGGCAGGAGGCATACCTTGGAGGGAGGTTTGTCTTGGGCGTAGGCAGCTCCTGGCCCCAGGACTTGCGCTTCTTGACTGGCTTCTTCTCCGCCGGCTTGGGGGTGTCGACCTTGGGCAGGCCCTCGGGGACGACATCCTCGAACTTGAGCGTGGTGTCAGCCGGCGAGACGGTCAGACGGGGGATCTCAGCCCCGGGAGAGGGAGACATCGAGTCCATGGAGAAGGCCTCGACGGCAAACGTTGACTCCGTCATGGTGTGGTTGACTTCCTGTGGAATGGCGTGTGTATGGCGGCGGTGGTTATTGTGGTTGTTTGCTGGATGCAGTGCAGACTGACTGTCAGAGAGCAAGCATGGTGGACGGACGGCAGCCTGGGAGGTTTGATGTCCCAGCCGGCGCGGTCGACGCAGTTGATGCCAGCCTGTCTTCTTCGCCTCTTTTCTTCGCCTCCGTCGGAGTCGCTGCGCTGGAAGTTTCGAACGGCGAAGGAAGAGGGAGAGAGGGGGGGACACCGCCTTTATAAAGAGGCCACGGTGGCAGAAAAGGAGTGACTAAGCAGATGAGTCAGCCTAGCCACGCTTGCCTTTTGGGGCTAGCTCAATATGACTCATCCTGCACGTGCGTTTCACTAAAAAGGGGGCTGCTTAGTCATGAAGCGAGCTGCGGGTCAAGGGAAGACGAAAGAAACATCCAAGACGACGACGAGACGACGAGACAACAAGACAAGAAGACAAGACAAGACGACAAGACAGGCGCACAAGAAGACGCACAGGAAGACAAGAAAGTGACGAGTAAGATGAGCGAGACGATGGTCGTGCGACAGCGGCGAGGAGGATGAGGAAGAGGGAGGAGATGAGAGGTCTCACCGTCGCTGATCAGGACCGGCAGAGTAAGTAACATGGAGGAGCAGGGCGCGGTTGTCTTACCTTGCCGCTGGCTCCAAATCCATTATCAAACGAAAAGGGCCCCTACGGAGTACATACGCGCACCACTGTGGCACCGAGCACGGCGTACCTTCATCAACGTGCGTTGTACGCTGGCCAGTTGGGTGGATAGAATCGGCGCAAGGGGGTTTAAACCTCTCGCTTTTCGCCGTTTGTTGGAGTAAGTTCGTTAGTGAGCTGGTTGCGGTGGCTGCCGAGCCTGCGGAGAATGGGGGACTTGGGACAGGGACAGGTCCAGATCCAGGCCCAATCTTCTCGCTGCCAGGTTTGTGTTCAGGGGCGCCGTTCCTGAGCCCTTGGGTCTGACAAAGTGGCGAGGCTGACTTGGTCGAACCGTACTCCGTACGGAGTACTCTGTGGCCACCGGTGACCATCGAGCCAAGCGACCGTTTGTCTTCGGCTGGAGCGAGCTACCTAAGACAGTCAACCACACCATCTCATGTTCATATGTGCAGGTTAGACTGCACCCCTTACCATCAAACTGACCTTTCAGCCTCGAGTCCATTGTGGTTTTCAGAGACATATCAGTGCATATATTGGCCCTGAGAATACTCCGTACAACTCAGTAGTAGGATGCCGGTGTAAAGGCCTTTGTCATTGCTTCGCCCTCATAAAGGCCACCCCTACCGATTATGGTTATCAAATTCTTAAATGCAGTCAGAACCACCCCTGTACCAGCGACAATCCCACTCCCACGCCCCCAGGGTCCTTCTGGTACAAACGGTGCATATGTCCGGGCGGATGGGGGCTACGGAGCTCTATTTCCGGAGGTATGGATCAGTCCTGTTTATCTTGTTACTTAACACAGCAGAAGAGATGTTGGCCTTGGGATTTTGTGTTCAAGAATAATACCTGCTGACGTCTTTGGACCCCATCTGTGGCCGGACAATCTGACTTGCCTTGCACCTTAGACAACCTAAGACCATCCTCTCTCTTCGAAGCAAGCCTTCATCGAAGTCAATTCTTTAAACACGGTAGTTCTGCACCATTTCACCATGCTGGCAGAGTGTGTAGAAAGGTTGGGGGATGCATGAACTTGGATGAAAGACGATGACTTGATCATCTCGATACCAGCAAGCATGAGACGATTATTGAGTTCATTCGGGATCGTATTTCAACTCTGGGTCTCAGCCAGATAACATTAACTTGCTTTGACGAAGACGCAGCAGCAGGCGCAGCAGACTCTGCCAAGAGAAGTCCGTCAGTTCAGTGTTAGCTGTGGGATTGAATGAAGGTGTTTATATTTTAACATTTGACTCGCTCAAGGAAGCCCCATAATCCCAGGCGTCGTGATGGCCCAGCCACACGGCCTGATTAACTAATGGATAACCAGCTGATGAGACTTGGGCCTTTCTTTTGTGTGAAGCTTTAAATGTCCAAGTGGCATTTGCAACGTGAAGGCAGCAAATTTGAATAGCCGAGTGCGCTCAGTGGTGGCTGTTAGCAAGCTACTACCAAGGGTGCCTGGGGTTAATCGGACAGCCAGTTAAGCTATCTTACCTGGATGGACTATCTCGGCAGCTAGTTTTGCTGCTTCATGGTCTTCTCTCTGTAAATCATTAATGAGCGCTAGCCTAGATATGTTCAGGCACGGCAGGTTCTTTAGCTAGTTGAAATTCCATTGCATTGAACGAATGTAGTAAATGCATTGTGGTGGTGGTGGATTGAAATGCCCAAGTAGCCAGCAGGATACTTTGTATAAATATGCAGACGCAAGTCAAGGGTCTTTCACTGTTTCTTGCTACGAATATCAATCGCTCACCACCATGCTACATATCTCCTAACAGTAATCCGTTATCTCCGGGCGTGACCATGAAAACAAGGTGCTTTGAAACAATAACCATATTCCCAAGCTCTTCTTTTCCGCTATGCCTCGGCCAACTATCCGAATGATCCGATTTCACATCTCCTCGTTTTGGCGCCGGACAGGTACCCGCGGAACGCCTGCAAACCGGAACCTACACATCTCATGTCGAGGTATGGCATGACCACAAGGTTCAAATTCTCAAACTAAGCTTCTATTTAGGCAAACCGATAAGTGAAGACAAACTCTTTGGGTATACAAACGGAGGATTTTTGGTCAATGAAAAGTCTCAATTCGATCGGCGCTATGTCAAATTCAACCTGGATGCTCTCTGCGATCTTGTAGCCACAGCTGGGGGCCAGCCTTCCCCAGTTAAAGCAGTTGAGAAGATGGAGGGCGGTTTCAGCAAGGTTCTTCTGATGAGAAAAGAAAATGGAATGGAGATTGTCGCTAAAATTGCTTGTCGAAATGCTGGGCCCGCAGTTTATACCACCGAGTCGGAGGTTGCTATATTGAAATACAGTAAGCAAGGGACTTGATGTTTTACGTTGACTACTTTATTTATGCTTATAGCAATATAGTGAAACAGCAGACAAGTATTCCAGTTCCCGAAGTATATACATGGTCTTCTGACCCTACCAGCCCGGTGGAGGCAGAATACATCATCATGGAGAAAGCAGCTGGTGTCCCCCTTTTCAAGATATGGGGGGAGATCTCCCTCTCAGATAAACTAGAGCTTGTTAAAAGACTTACGGCATTCGAACGCGAGCTTTGTTCCTTACAATTACCCGCATATGGAAGTTTGTATCTACGGAGCTTCGGTGGGGGTCTTCCTAACTTTAAGCCTCTAGATATAGAGGCTGACCCATCACAGTCATATTGCGTGGGCCGTTCAGGTGATAGAGTGTACGTGCTAGAGGATATTGAAGGGCCAGGGGTCGATTTAGGTCCATGTAAGCACTCATCAGTTATATCTCTGGTACGCCGCTGACCACGTAAAAACAGGGGATACACTGGCAACGTTTGGCATTGCGATTGCGAGACGTGAAATCGCTCGTGCTTTGCAAGGTCTGCCGCCCCACCCAGGGACGTTCTATCAAGGAAGTTGTGAGGAGAAGGAAAAACTTCTTGATGAAGTTATCAGTCTTATGAGAATGTTGAGCTCAACTTCTCATCCTGTCCCAGCACAATTGGGGAAGCCTGTGATCTGGCATACGGACCTTCACATGGGGAACATTTACGTCTCTCCTGACAACCCGTCTCAGATTCTCTCCATCATTGACTGGCAATCAATATCCGTCCTCCCTCTTTTCCTACAGGCACGTTGGCCCATTTTCCTAGAGCCGCCTGATAACTTTGTTAGGGGGTTTCAAGCCCCAAAATTACCAGACAACCTGAGAGAGATGGATGAAGAGGACCAACAGCTAGCGAAATTTGAATATCGACAAGCCATGGTTGCGAAAACGTATGAGGTTTCGACCTATCTCGAAAACAAAGAAGCTCATACTGCCATGAACCTCCCGCGTGTCTTTCGAGAACTGTTCAAACGCTGTGGAGAGACGTCGGAAGTTGGTATCCTCCCTCTCCGCGCGTGTATGATCGAGATTTTCCAGAACTGGTCGGAGCTGGGCTTCGTCGGGGAATGTCCTTATTCTTTCAGTGAGAACGAGATTGCCGAGCATGCCGCTCAGTTCACAGACTATGAGGACTGGTATAAGGCGAATGAGATCGCGAGAAAGTGTCTGGATACGGATGAAGAAGGATGGATATCTCCCGAATTGGATATAGAGGAGAAACGCCGACAAAACCAAGAACTGTTTGAAACGTTCGTCAAGCAAATGTCGACTGAGAAGACTCTGGAAGAAGCACGGCGTATGTGGCCGTTCGTTGATGACAACAGATAACGAAGATGTTGATCGCCATGAAGGCTTTCTTCCAGCCGCGGATACCCTTTATACCTTCTTGTGGTTCTGGTTAGTTATTATCCGTGACCTGCCATCCAATGCCAGCTGTATCATAGACATATGTAAGATTATCGTCGAGATAGACTGTAGAAGCCTCGTCCGGTGTTGTTCTTTTCTGCCTCGGCTTGAGAAGCAGCCATGCCAAGACCCGCCGTCATCGCCGCAAAAAAAAACACCAACAAATAGCACTTTTTGTGACTTCCAGCTGCAAAGCTATGTACCAAGTGTTTACTTTACGCTGCATAGCTCGGCACTTCAGCAGCTTTTAGCAAAGAGCAAGGCAGTGAATCGACTAAATAGGTGCCCTCCAGCATGGTAGCTCCTCGAGCTTCCGCCCTTTTTGCACAATCATGTCGACGGACACTTCTCCCAACCAGAGTCTCCTTCGATAGACGGCGGTACATCTCTGCCTATGGATACACCCAGGCCAAAGCCATTGTCTTTCCAAAATACGGCGAGCCCAAAGATGTTCTCAAGTCTGCCTTTACCTCTCTGGACGTTATCCGGGATTGTTTGGAACGAGTGTTGTACTGACTGGCCTGGTCTAACTAGTTTACACGCATACTCCATATCCCCCCCCAGTGGCACTCAATGCACCCTCCGGCTACTGGCCGCCCCGCTCAACCCAGCGGACTTTAACCAGATACAAGGCGTCTATCCGACAAAGCCCACTTTCACTACCTCGCTAGGCACAATCGAGCCTCATGCCGTGGCTGGTAACGAGGCAGCTTTCGAAGTCATATCCACCGGCTCAGGCGTCAAGTCTCTTCGCAAGGGTGACTGGGTCGTCATGAAACACTCTGGCATGGGCACATGGCGGACACATGCTCAGTGGGAAGAGTCGCAGTTGATAAAGATCAATGAGCAGGACCGTGAATGCCTAACCCCCATCCAGGCCGGAACCGTGAGCGTAAATCCTGTAACTGCATACCGGATGATCAAGGATTTTTGTGAATGGGACTGGCTGCGAGGTGGGGAGGAGTGGTTAATTCAGAACGGTGCAAACTCAGGTGTAGGGCGGGCGGCTATCCAGATCGCGAAACAGTGGAATATCAAGACTCTGAACATCATTAGAGAGCGCGAGACAGCGGAGGAGACGGAGAAGCTTAAGAACGAGCTGCTCTCACTGGGTGCCACGGCCGTCATCACCGAAGCAGACCTCCTGTCTCCAGCAAAGTTCAAAGAGATTGTTCACCAACAGACACGAGGAGGCAGAGAGCCTATTCGTCTGGCCCTTAACTGTGTTGGCGGCAAGAATGCCTCTGCCATGGCCAAAGCACTTGCTCCCAATTCTCGACATGTCACCTATGGTGCCATGGCGAAGGTGCCAACCTCACTGACTGCCGGGCTGATGATATTCAACAACATCTCCTTCCACGGCTTCTGGGTGTCGAGATGGAGCGACCAGAACCCGGTCTTGAAGGAAGAGACCATTCGTGATATCTTCCGTCTAACTCGGGACGGCAGGTTTAAAGACATTCCTGTTCAGGAGGTGAAATGGACCAGGGATACGTCAAAGGACAAGCTCGTTGACAGCGTACAGGGGACGCTGGGGGGCTACAGGAGCGGCAAGGGAGTATTTGTCTACAGCGGTGAGTAGACCTATTATTCTTCAATATATGTATGACTAGTTCAACTACAGGCTGGATATGGACGTTGAAATGATATACCTTGTTTGCTATATCAAAAGCATAAGAATGACGGAACTGGTGGATACCTACATATCGGCTTTATCGGAACCATGGCACAAAGGTCAAACAAAACGTTATTCACCTGTACCTTTATTCATTTGCTGCTGGTAATCTGCTTGCTGGATAGTATGTTCGCTTTGATGTTCACTATACGAAAGACCGGCATTATTTATTCACTTTTGCTTTGTACTTTCTTCTATATATACCCCTGATATCCTACCCGTCGACATGACATCTTCAACCATCCTGAGCTTTGCTTCTCCCCTGGGGGTACAGAGGCCTTCTGTCATGAGCATAGGAGTAGAGACCTTGGTCTGACCCTAAACTAAATTGACCTTCCCTACTCCTTTTAAAAATTATAGACTAACACAAATATATAATATCACCTATACGCCATTACCCCCTCCCCCCCGACACTCGCGATATTACTACTCTAAGTAATATCACTACTAGCCAGGAATACACGATTAAATGTTATTCGACATACCCAAGCGGAAGCATTCACCTTTGTTAACCTCGAGAAGGTGAAGGCCGGACGGGTTGCAAACTAGAAATACGGGGGATAAGAGAACAGACCGGTATCAAAGATAACAGAGATCAGAATGCCCCTGAGAAGAGCGTGGAAGATACCGCTTGTCTGCAGGGTATTGCCATAGCAGGGAAGGCCACAATTATACTAGCGGGCTGATGAAGACCTAATGACAGGTGGCTCATATCAGCGGCCTGGAGCCCGGTTTCGACTGGGCAGAGGAAAAAGAAGCTGGAATTGCTCACAAAGAGCGCAAGAACAAACGGAGGGAGAAGCAGAAAGCCGCTAAGGCGAACAAGAACGAGACCCAGACCCAGGCCAGCGGCTTTCTACCTGCATGGCCGTAGAATGGGCCGGATATGTTATCCCGTGAGTCACTATTCTGAACCATCTGACTGACTGAAATATTTGGGATTTTAATGGAATTTGATAGAATGAGGAGACGGAATTGGTCCATCGTTTCATGCATGTCTGAATGGCGATTTCCCTGGCCCTCCCACTAATTGGGTCGTCTTTATTCCCGCATCATGGCACTTGATTGTTGTCGCATGATTTGCGGCTCCTAGAGTGGGTGGGATGGCTCGAACATGCCAAATTGTTCAGGATCGTTGGAGATATATAATCTTGATTCCCCCCTGGTCGCCCGAACGATCTCCATGGTGCCCGTCGCCTTTGCATTTTTCACTTTTGGGATATTCGACATCGAATTAATAACCCAGAAACACACTCCTCCCCTGTCCCATTCTCTGACCCAATCTACGCTCTATAGCACAGGGTTCAAGGTTGGATACTAGATGAGGTTGTTTTACCACATATTCTAGCCATAGGATACTTCCACTTTGGCGAAGAAAGTGATGGAGAGACCTGAGTCCTTGTGTAAAGCGGTGGTGCGTTTTCTGAACAGTGTTCCGTGGTTGGGAAAACAGTTGACCGTGGGCTGTGCCGTCCGCTTGATTACACAGGAGTCACCAGAAATCTGCTGGTTTTGTCTTGATGAACAACATTCACTTTAGGATCTCTCCCGCACGATAACGAGACGATGTTGTCCGAGGACAACATTCAGCATTTAAACGAAGCTCTTCTATTTACATATGACGCCCCTTCAGCCGCCCCTTCAGTGCAATGGAACGATGACCAGTTGAGTTGACACCGCACTTTTTATCTCTCTAATCAAATCCCTTGTTAAAAAGGAGAAATCAGGCAATTGAAGACCTACAGAAGTCCGTATTGCAAAGCTTAGATAGTGACAAACTTCGCCCCCAGTGTATCATCCGCTCTAGTGATTCGTACTTCGCGGTCGTATTCGGTACGACCAAAGCGAGAAACAGGGCTCTGCGGAAGCTGGAGAAGCTGGAATTTTCTTTTGAAGGAAAGCCAGTGAAGACGCTCATTTTTAACCTTGGGGACTCAAGTGGGAGCAAAGGTCCGACTTTCTGGCCCATTCCGGTTGGTTTTGAGCTTTGAAAGAGTTAACACATTGAACGTGAGTGATTGTTAGCGAGCTCTTTGACATGTTGTATCAAACTCGGATCTGGGCTTCCTAGCATGCAAGAAATTCACTGACAGAGGTGACTAGAGATGCCAGTCTGAACAGCCTCCGGGTAGAGTACGGTCAATTTTCATGCATCTGCAGCAACATCTCTACCAACAGGATGAGACGGACTGACTGTGGCTTGCTTGAAGTTCCCAAAGCTAGACACTCCAACATCGAATGACAGAATTTCCACCTTATTAGTCAGATCTACCACTTCTGTACCACCCAGATATAGTATGAGTGGTCATATTCGAAACGTTGTGGTCTCGAATATTATGGCAATGGTCCATGCAAACAACCAAGAGCTGAAGGAAGTCACTTCGGATATGAGTGCATCAATGTCCACCGCAATCGCATCGAACGAGAATTTTATAGAGACCAACACCGGCTCTCCTGTGGCTATCCAAATTCGAAACAGACACGACTCCCCTTCGAGTCTTTTTATTTTATTTTATTTTATTTATTATATTCGGGGGATGTTGGGACATACACCAGAGGCCATTCATATACACCAGCAAAAAAGCAGAAGAGCGCAACCTTACTGGCATCTTTGGAAAATTTCACCCAAGCATGTCATAACCTGCTTGCTCTACCTATATATATAGTGAATGTTGTAGGATATTGGAGCATTTAATGCAAAATCAAAATGACCCCCTGAGATCTAGATCCGTCCAGCTAGTCCGGTGCCTCGTTAGTAAGCCGACGTCATAGGCCGGAAGCTTGCATAAATAGTTAAATAACTAGATAGTTGGTTGGCTGGTTGGTTGGTTGGTCGAGTGGTTGGCAACTCCCGAGTAAACAACAAGAAATACTCATCAAACAACCACCGCAAGGAGACCGTCTTCCATCCTCTCCTGCCCATGCTTGACAGCGCTGCTCTCGTCCTCCTAGGACTGGCTGGAGTCGCCCTCGGCTCGCAGCCTCAGGCTCCAGATCCCATTCCTGCGCCGCTGAGGGAGCTGACATGGGGCCAGCTTAACTTCCTCCACACCACCGACGTCCACGGCTGGTATTCGGGCCATCTACAGGAGTGAGATAATGCTCTCCTTTCTTCTGATATGATTACCTATGCCCATGTTCGGAGTGCTGAATATTGTTGCTGCCGCAGGCCGTCGTTCTCTGCCGACTGGGGAGATTATGTCTCCTTCGCGACTCGCATGCGTGAAAAGGCCGAAGCAGCCGGGACGGATCTACTGGTAGTCGATACTGGAGATCGGGTCGAAGGGAATGGACTCTACGACAGCTCAGACCCCAAGGGAGTGTATGCCTCGGAGTTTCTGAAAAAGCAGCATATTGACCTGCTTTGCTCGGGAAACCATGAGCTCTACAAGCAGAACACGTCGGAGGCTGAGTTCCGCACGACTGTACCGAACTTCAAGGGCAACTACCTTGCCTCTAACATCGATATTGCCGATCCAGAATCTGGTGAGATCGTACCTCTTGCCCAGCGGTTCAAGAAGTTCACCACCAAGATGCAAGGAATCCGGATTATGGCGTTTGGGTTCTTGTTCGATTTTACGGGGAATTACAACAATACCGTTGTGACGCCTGTTGAAGAGACGATCAAGCAAGCGTGGTTCCAGGAGGCGATTAGAGACCGGGAAGTTGATCTCTTCCTCGTTATTGGCCACGTCCCGGCTAAATCGAAAGAGTACGCTGCCATCTTCACCGCGATACGGTCGGTCCAGTGGGACACACCGATTTAGTTCTTTGGAGGCCATCATCATATCCGTGACTACGTCAAGTATGATAAAAAAGCGTACAGCCTTGCCAGCGGGCGATTTATGGAAACTATCGGCTTTGCGTCGTTGAGTGGGTTGAGCACTGCGAAGAAACAGACCTCTGCGGCCAGGACCTCCCCTGTTTTCACTCGAAGATATATTGATAACAATCTATTCTCGCTATACCACCACTCGGGCCATGATGAGTCTACTTTCCACACACCTGAAGGTAAGAAGGTGACTGAAGATATCCGGAAAGCTCGAAGTGCTCTCAAGCTTGACCATGTCTATGGCTGTGCCCCGAAGACACTGTGGATGTCCCGGGCCAAATATCCGTCCGACGATAGCATCTACAGCTGGCTCGAGAAAGAGGTCCTCCCTAGCTCTCTTAGGCCCCATCTCCGTGAGAATACCGCTGGTCTCGCTATCATCAACACGGGCGGTATCAGGTTTGACATCTTCAAAGGCCCATTTACTCAGGATGGCGCGTATATCGTGTCACCATTTACGAATGAGTTCCGATTCATGAAGGATGTGCCGTATGACAAGGCCGTCATGGTCTTGAAGGTGCTGAACAAGGCTACCAACATTCTCACGCAGGCAGGATTTATGCCTATGGATTCTTCATCTCTTAGCCCACCGGAACAGTGGTCCAGAACGGAAGACTTTATTGCAAAGGCCGATCATATACCACTGTCCCATGAAGCCAACAATGAGCAGAATCCACTGCAGGACGGTGATGAGCCTACCCTGACTCCAGGATACACTACCAAAGATGACGGTGGGACAGATGGAGACGACACTGTGCATAACCCTGTGTCCTTTTACCGGGCTCCAAACTGCATCATGGCTACCATCACAAACGATGATGACTCTTCCTCCACGCCGGATGTGGTGGACCTGCTGTACCTCGACTTTCTCGAGCCTTGGGTGACTGTGGCTACTAAGATCGTCGGGATCGACTTTGACCCTAAGAAAGACGCAGAGGCCTTTATGCCGGGCGTCCAGATGAGATCCATGCTCACGGCCTGGGCAAGTCAACACTGGAGCTGTCCTAGCTCTTAGTAGTTCCATGTTAGATTTTATATTGTTCGTTAGCGCTTATAGATCAACTTTTCTGCTTTTCCGTTTCTTCGCAAAGATTTCACTAGACAGCTTTACTTGGAATTAGTCATGGTTTGCCCCTTAGCAAGTCTCTCACCTCGTCGTCGCCGTCACCACAGCAGCTGTAGCTGTCATCGTACTTGTTTCTGGCTGTATGTATGTAGTTTAGTTGTTGATGTTGAATTTTGATATTGATCCTCGAAGGTCCAGACTGCGTGATCCACGTGACCACTTAGTCAGCTCAACAAGCCGTCAACAAAAAAAAAGAACTTCGACTTTCTTTGCAACGAAACAAGCAGAAGCAGCAGACGAAGAAGACGACGACGACGACGACGCAAGACCAGCAGCTCGATCGACCAGACGCAATCCCGAAGCAGCTCAGTGAGACCGCTGCCAGTGCCAATTGCTCTCCCTCGTCGCTAGAGACCGCCCCAGCTAGCTTCTTCTCCCCGTCCTCAGCATAAATTCCCGCGCAAATGGCCGCCCCCAGGATACTACGGCCGGCTTCCCGACTGCTGGCACCGCGGTCGTCTCTCCCAGCAGCCCGTTTCTCTGCCTTCCGGCCAGCTGTCTTCACTCAGCCGGTTGCACAGAGACGCTCGTATGCTGCTCCCAGCGGCGTGAAGGAGGTCACCGTCAGAGATGCGCTCAACGAGGCTTTGGCGGAGGAGCTGACCAGCAACGAGAAGGTCTTCATTCTCGGAGAGGAGGTGGCTCAGTACAACGGAGCGTGAGTTATACAGCTCAATTGATCACTTCCTGCCTGCTGCTTTGTTAAATTGGTGCTGACTTTGCTGGTGTTTAGTTACAAGGTCACCAAGGGTCTTCTCGACCGATTCGGCGATCGTCGAGTTATTGACACTCCTATCACCGAGCAGGGTTTCTGCGGTCTCGCCGTTGGCGCTGCCCTCGCTGGTCTTCACCCGGTTGTATGTGATAAATATCCTGGCCATTCTTCGCCATTTAACCGTATTGCTCGATTGTTCCGTACTAATTAATTTTCTCCGTTCTGTCCGGTGTTTATAGTGCGAGTTCATGACCTTCAACTTTGCCATGCAGGCCATCGACCAAATCGTTAACTCCGCCGCAAAGACTCACTACATGTCCGGAGGTATCCAGCCCTGCAACATCACCTTCAGAGGACCCAACGGTTTTGCTGCTGGTGTCGCTGCCCAGCACTCTCAGGACTACGCTGCCTGGTATGGAAGCATACCTGGTCTGAAGGTTGTCACTCCATGGAGCTCCGAGGATGCCAAGGGTCTCTTGAAGGCTGCCATTCGTGACCCCAACCCAGTCGTCGTCCTTGAGAATGAGTGAGTTGGAACTCTCCTCCGCTGAATATTGGAACTCTTTTTTTCCGTTGGTTTGCTAACGACAGCGATAGGCTTCTTTATGGACAATCCTTCCCCATGAGTGAGGCTGCTCAGAAAGACGACTTCGTTATCCCTCTCGGAAAGGCCAAGATCGAGCGTCCTGGAAAGGACGTAACCATCGTCACCCTCTCCCGCTCCGTTGGCCTCTCCCTTCAGGCTGCCGCCCAGCTCAAGTCCAAGTATGGTGTCGAGGCCGAGGTCATCAACCTCCGCTCTGTCAAGCCGCTTGACGTTGAGGCCATCGTCAAGTCGGTCAAGAAGACCGGTCACTTGATCGCTGTTGAGTCTGGTTTCCCCATGTTCGGTGTTTCGTCCGAGATCCTCGCCCTCGCCATGGAATACGGTTTCGACTATCTCCAAGCCCCTGCCATCCGTGTCACTGGTGCTGAAGTGCCCACCCCATATGCCGAGAAGTTGGAGACCATGAGTTTCCCACAGGAGGACACCATCCTGTCCCAGGCTACCAAGCTCCTCCGACTATAGACACCACCTGTATCAACAACTCCAAGTGCACCCCGCGTCTAGTACAACTTTATACACCCTCTGTTACTACTACATTACACCCTCTCTTTGCGGCGCTCCACACCACTTGTCCTCTTCCCCACAGATTTTTTTCCTCTTCTGTAGCAACGCTATCCCTCTTCATCCCTCTGGTATTCCCTTTTCCTTTCCATCTTGTGTATTTTTACGCTACCTGACGATATATAGCGCCCACACTTGTACTATTCGTCTTTACTCATTTGGTGTGTGCGTGTGTCTACATGGCGCCGCCACCCCCCTCCTTTGCCTATCCTTGGATCTGCTCAATAAATAAAATTCCATCTGCATTGCATATCATTGTTGCATTCATATAAACTACTGTAGTGTATTGCTGAATATCCACCTCCGCACTCCACTATCAGCTACTAAATTAATGTACCCGCCTGTGGATCACACCTAAAAAAACTTGTCATGCGCTCATTGAGCAGGGGGCTCGATATTTTATATATTTGCTATTTCAAACTGAAGAGGAAAAAGCACATATACAAAAGCTCGTCGATAGACGGCTCAGATGATACTCACTACCTGATGGAGGTTAGCTGGGTGCTACTGAAGATTGGAACCTGCCCTGGATGGCTTGTGAAACGGCAAGTAAGGGGCAGCACACCGGTCGATGTATACAAATATATAAATCAATCAAGATGGCCTCAGGTTTTGATGATAGTCATGATGCAGCTCTCGGGCTATTCGAGGGGAGTTGATATCTACATACATCCAGAGTGTATCTCCCTGACCCGGGGTTCGCAGCCAAGGACCGATACAAGCAAGGACTGATACGAACGATGGGCAAAGAAGTGCGTCCGGCTCTGCTCAGCACCCGATTAACATCGCCTTCGACGTCGCCATCTCTGGTCTTGCTTCTGGCTCTGTGGACGGCAGCACTGCATCTCGTCTCCTCCGCCCCAATGCCTAATCTGTCAATGAAGATTCCCCGGGTCGGCAACCCAGTCCTCAACGGCTGGTATGCGGACCCCGAAGCCCGCATCTTCAACCACAAGTACTACATCTACCCCACCGTGTCGACAGTGTATGAGAACCAGACCTATTTTGAGGCCTTCTCCTCCCCCGACCTGAAGACGTGGACCAGCTTGGGAAAAGTGCTGGACTTCAAGGACGTCCCCTGGAGCACGAACAGAGCTGCGTGGGTACCCTCCGTTGCCTTCAAGGATGGGTCATACTACATGTATTTCTCTGCTGGAGACGGGGTCGGGCTTGGGGTTGCACGTTCGAGTTCTCCAGAGGGTCCGTTCAAGGATGCGTTGGGTAAGCCGTTGATATCAGAATCGTACTTTGGTGCGCAGCCCATCGATGCAGATATCTTTATCGACGACGACGGGAGGAACTATCTCTATTATGGCGGGCATAGCCATGGTGTTGTCGTTGAGCTAAATGATGACATGATCTCCCTCAAGGGGGAGGTTAAGGAGATCACTCCAAAGGCTTATGTTGAGGCTCCGTGGATGTTGAAGCGAAAGGGCGTGTACTACTTCATGTATAGCACTGGCGGGTAAGTCTGTTATTTGTTGGGTTTGCATTCCAGCTTGATATCTCTTTGAATAACTGGCATTAACGACGTTGTCAACATCTTCAAGGTGGGGAGATAACTCGTACGCAGTGAACTATGTCACTAGCAAGAGTCCACTCGGGCCCTTTGACGGCGAGCCTGTCAAGATCTTGCAGGGAGACACCGCGATTGGAACAGGAACCGGTCATAATAGTGTCTTCTCGGTCAAGGACGACTACTATATCGTGTATCATCGCCGATTTCCTGACGACAACGAAAGAGACCATCGAGCCACATGCATCGATAGAATGTATTTCACAGATGACGGTCGAATCGAGCCCGTCAAGATTACAACGGAGGGAGTGGAGGCCCGGGTGCCATGGTGATTAGCCTCCTTTTGTGAATAATATGATATCGCCTCTAGCCTGGGATGTACCGGTATTTTCATTTTGAAGGACATGGCAATCCGGGTAGGCATCTGTATATATCGTTTCTTTCTTCAGCACACAGAGGCCTTTGCTCCGGGGCACTCGTGGAAGCAATCCGTCGGGCGTCGGGGATCGTAATAACCACCACCAGCTTTAATATCATCGTTACCGTTCTCTTCATCAGTGTCGCTTTCTACCTCTTTATCCGCCTGTAGAGGGCCTCTATCCTTGCTGGTATTGACCGTGGGTCCGGAAGCCTTGGTCGGAACACTCTCCCGTTGAGTGATGTCCTCCTCGTCATCCTCGTCTCCCAGGACATTCTTCTTCGGTCGAGCTGCTCCTGCAGATGCAACTGTGCTCGAGCTCCCGGCTCCTCCGCCAGCTACCACCGAGAACGAACTTTTGAATCCGCCCTTTTTGAACCCACCAGTAGAGGCACTACCAGTGCCTGAACCGCCGCCCTTCTCCCCACTGGAGTTAACGATTATGAGCCCTGCTTCTTCATTGGCCTTTCGTTCAGCTTTTCTCGCCTTTTCAGCAGCGTTTGGGTCTCGAGAAAGCTGCTTCAGGTCGCGCAATCGTTTCTTGTGCTGGTGGTCATAGGAACCGATGTGTGCCTCGTACTCGGGGTGTCGCGAGTAAGACTTGTTGCAGAGCGTGCAGGTAAAGGCATTCAGTGCCGAGCGCGCAGATTCGGTCTACCTCAAGTCAGTATTCGCTCGACTTTCCTGGTGCTTGGGATGGTTGCTTTGCGGGTTGGGATGTCCTGCACACCTTTGGCGCCGGGTTGGCGAAGCCGCGCTGTCATCCTGGCAGTCAGTAAAACCTGTTAATTCTTCCTGGCCGGAGATGTTACTTACCGGAGGCATCTTGTCTGTATACGCTCTGGGATAGATGTCAATAATCGCGTTGAGGATTGTTATGGTCAAAAGGGCGAAGTTGGCGAGTTGAAGATGGAGCTGCGGCTGTTTGGCCAATCAAGGCCGCCCAGTTGCGGATTTCTCATTCAAAAGGCCGACATTTGAGCTATCAAGAGCATCAACCTCCTGCACATTACTCTCTCTCTCTCTCTCTCTCTACTTACTTACATAGCTTTGCGCAGGTTACAGGCTGAAA